GATCTGCAGTGAATTTAAACAAATTGAACTTAATTGAAATAGAATTGTTCATCAAAATGCTTTATGGAGTCTGGTCTTCTCTACAACCCGACCATGAAACAAACAAATCTCCGCGCCGGATGCAAGTCAGCCCTCCAGCCAGGAACGATGACAGGTCGCCGATCTGAAACATTTGAAGATCTCTTATATGTTTTCTCTTCCGAGGATAAGTACAAAGGATTTTCCTTATATCATAGGGAAGATTGACCGATCGATTGGAATCAACTACAGCTATGTCAATTTTAAATGGACCCAAGTCTTTCTTTGTTATCAGTCGTTTGATACCCTGGGTGCCAGAGACTTTTTATTCGCGGTTTCCGGTTTCGGTCAAGTCTCGCAGAGGTCAATGAATTTTTAAAAATACAGGTCATACAAGATAAGTCTAAACCAACGCGTATCGCTATGATGATATGGCTGAGAGTTAAGGTGAATGGAACTAGGTTGTGTACGGCGGTCCACTTCGCAAGAAATAAAATAAAATATCAAAAGAGTCGCGAAAACGAACTTTTCCAGTACAAACTTTATGCATGTACGATAGCTTGTTTGTCATTTATATCGCTATAAGAAAGGAAGTTTTACAAATGTTACCGCTAGTTGTTCCGTTCATAGAAATCGGAGGAAAGCAAAAAATTACCATAGCCAGTATCTGTGACAAAAAGGAAACCTTGTAAAACTTTTCGTTAATCGTCAAGAGATATAAAAGGCCGCCCAAGATCGCACGCTGTGAGGTTACGCATAATTTTAGCTTTTCACATAGCGCTAATTTATTACACCCAGGATTTTAGGGTGTACGAGGGGACACGTGACCAGCCGATGCCAGGGCCTTTTCCCGCCCCACCCATTTTTTAAGGGAAAAGCCCTGGGGACGAGGTTGCTCTTTTCGCATATGACCATGCTGTGCATAATGCCGGAAGTAGAGTCGACCTTGATTTGGAACAACTCTGTATGAAACCCGCCTCAATATTTCGTCGAAAATAATTGAGTCGTTTGTCTACTTTCACGTATTTCCCAATCTGGAAGTCCATTTACTCTAACCTGCATTTTAACAACACCAAAGCGAAACTGTTTAGATCAATTGTTGATGAATACTGTGTATGAGTCATTGCATAGGAAGTTCTTTAAAAATTATGTGCATTTATAGCCAATCAGAAACCTTCGATCTGTTGACGTCATTCAATTTGGGGACAAGTCACGCTCATGAATCAGTGGACCTGAAAAATCGTCAAAATTGTTTGGAAGACAACTTCTTTTTACCTCTTTTCCCTTGTTATATTCTAACAGTATATACAAATGGTTTAGACGAGTGCGTGGGCCGGCTGCAATGCAGGCTATAGGAGGGACGGGGTAGTCTGCTACACAGCCGTTTTTAGTGTCGTCACGCAACGCTCCTCCGCGTTGCGTGACGACACTAAAAACGGCTGTGTAGCAGACTAGGACGGGGGAGAAAATCGAGAAAAAAGAGAAAACCATCTTTTTGGAACAAGTGGAATGCTGTTAAGTTGTACGATCGGTTGTGGTTCAATTATATCCCTGGTTTAAACGTTATTTTCCATTTTTTTGGAGGGGAAGGCGGGGGGGTGACAATGTGTGGTATTGAGTTTAAAACAAAGTAAATAATATATGGCATGTTGAAATCGATTATTTCGATAAGAATGGGATGTAATATATCAAACATGAGATGCAGTGTTTCATCACCAGATGAAACACCGAGAAGAGAGTTGAAAATACGACGCGCAGCGGAGTATTTTTGACGATTTTCGAGGTGTTTCATCTGGTGATGAAACACTGTGTCGAATGTTTGATATTTCTTCTCAAACAAAATCATTTTTGAAGGAGAAATTAAGGATGCAAATACTAAGCAGTGTTTCATCCGATTTCCAAACACTCATTAAACATTAATTTCCTTTGTATTTTCTTAATGAATTATTAATGAGTTTGAGAAGAGAACATTGAAGACAACAAGTTTGAATTTTAGGCGGGAATGGCTAATTGCCACACTGCAAGTTAGTTCTGACAGTAGTGAAAAACGTTTTTGCTCGCTCATTATCCTTTCCTCGTTTCGGGGTCAAATATTTCGTCCCGATTAATATTCAAACATAAGTCACGGGACAGAAAATGGACTTTCTTATGTGTCACATATTTTTAAGGCCTTCCAGCTACATTTAATTTGCAGGCCATTGTTTAGGATCATTGATAGGAGCAAACAGTTTAAATACGTTTTTGTAAATCATAGTTTTTGATAATAATGCCCGTGGATCAAACTTTTATTTTAATAATTACACTGAAAAACAATAACGAATATCAAAATTAAAAATGCTAATTGTGCTCCATGGTTGTTCGCAGTTGAACCTCAACACTTGTCTTATGTCTCCTAGTACAAGCCGTCGGGTTTTTAATGATAACTGAGACTGATGGCTACTGAGGATCATGATACATTTTGCTATATTTCTCTTATAGGGGAAATAATGACGTTGCAGGACATGCATTTGCTTCAGCAAGAGAGCCAATAGAGCAGGAGGTAGGTGTATATTTTGTATCCTACGACTGATATAACCAACCCATTAGATTGAAACTAGAGAAGGAGTATAGACCCGGGGGGTACTTTAGGAATTTCTGGGTGGGGATGTGCCGCTGGGACCCTTAACCTATACCAGAGCTAGTTCAGCTTAATTTTGCTACCCTATACAAGAGTAAACTCTCCAAATCCCCCCTATCCTAGAGTAGCTGTTTCTCTAGTCTAGATAAAATCTTCGACCAACTGATCAGTTTCCTGGAAAATGATACCCTATTCTAGACCCAAATGTTCTGATTTATATACCCTATCCTAGAGTAAACTGCTTGAAAACCATACCCTTCACAGCGGCATGTACAGTATATAGCCTATATATGGCAGTACGGCAGTACCCCCCCCCCCTTCCCCCCCAGGTATAGACCTTGTGGCTCCTTGTCATGGTTTTCGAAACCATCTTGACGAGTAGGCAAACGCGTGAGAAATTAAAGTGTTTGTATGAGAGTCTAATGTCTAATAATTTCCGTGAAACCGCTGTTCTGAAAAAAATATATAAATTGTAAACTAAAGCTACAAAGCAAAGGATTATACCAAAAAAAATTGGGGGCGTACCTGTGCGTAAATTTCTCCAGAGGCTTGCTTTAGATTTTCCATATATTTGTCTGTAATTTTTGAAAATTTAAAGTGTGGTTCTACGTCTTCTAGTGCATGTAACGCTCCCAATTTTTTTCAGTAGAATCTTAGGACTGAAGCTTTAGTTGACAATTCCGAGTCATATTTTTTCAGAACAGCCGTTCTTCGGAAATTATTCGATGTTAAATTCTTATACAAACACTGCTTTCACACGTTTAGATGGCGTCGAAAACCGTGGTAAGGTCTGTTCTTTTGATGACACAATCTGTCCCTTTTATTAGGCGCCAAAATGTGCTAGAAAAGATCTTTGTTCACGTCTGACGAATCAACATTTTTTTTTAAAAAAAAAACTTGATATCAAAATCTAGCTGACAACATTACTAACAAATAAAATCGCTATTGTTGACGAATTTACTTCCGAAATCAAAAAACATTGATTGACAAGGAATTGAGTCACTGATAATTTTCCCCTTCGCTCGTTTGAGAAACACATGTTTTTACTTTATGTATTAGGCGATCGTTGGTCATCCCACTGAAGAAGTGAATCATCTCATTCATACTGGGGAACAGATAGAAGGATCTCATCAGCTTTTTATTGGTCAGCGTAACCCTGCAGGTTTTCACAATGGGCTGATGGATCCCCAAGGGATCTCACCATTGCCAATTGTGCCACCAAGCTATCCTCATCTCCCGATGAGGGAGCTAATTGTGGAGAATTTGAATTTCAACCCATTGCAAGAGGTTCCCTTATACCAGATGCATTCAAGAGGGAGACAACGGATGCAGTGCGCGGAGTTGGCTAGAGGAATACAGTTCAGTGATTGGGCTGGGGCTAGACCACCAACAACTAATATGCACTGTAGGCGAGGATGGACTAATGCAACTGAGTCGTACGATGGAATCGGGTGTTCTGGATCTGTCCAGGAGACCAGCCAATTTCCGGAACAGAATCAAGGACGTGAACACATGCGTGCATCCAGATTTCTTCGACAGCAGACTTTAGACAGGTCAGTAAACGAACACTCCGCACTACACCCCAATTTCTTTAAACGATCGAGAGCTTTCTTTCTCTGGCCACGGGTAATCAGTGCGTTATGTTACTAGTGGAAATGCCTGGAATCGCAATATTTGATCAGTATACATGCACATGTGGCAAAATCATGAGTCGTTTAATGAACAGTTTAGTTTCTGAGATTCTCTTCTGTGGTTTGCTACCTACCTCATTTCATCAATACGTTTTAGTAAGGGTTTAAAGAAACCCGTGAAATTTTAAGTAAACATCAGAAAAGTACAGGTCATAACCTGCGATCAGGCGAACCTTATTCTCTGTTGATCAGCACATCTCCAGTTTCAGCTATGTTGCAGATGGCAGTGTTGTTACTAACTCGATGCCTATCTTGAGTTTGGTCAGTTCTTGTCACTTGTGTCGTTTTATCCGTCAGGGTTGTGCTGGATCGCAGGTAAAAGGTCAAAATGACCCCATACTCGTAGAGGGGTCAAAGTTTACATTTTCAGGCAGCTGTGGCATCCAAGTTTGTTAGTAACTGTTTCCAATTTTTTTTTCTTCATGCTACCACTCATAAAACAACCCTCAACAGGTTAAGTCCAGCAGAGCATTTCTTAACTCAAGGTCAGATCTGTCGTGGAAATTATACTTGGAAAATAGAGAGTTTCTCTCAGCTCCTCCAGGACGCAAGCAATGGAGAGATAAGATCACTTGAGAGTCCTCCGATTTACACTAGCTTCCCTTGTGGGTACAAGTTCTTCATGCGTATCTTCCCGAAAGGCGTTGATGGTGGAGATGGAAGACACATTGGCCTGTTTGTTGGCATGATGCAGGGGGATTTGGATAACAGGCTCGAATGGCCATTCGGCGGGCAAATATCTCTCTCCCTGTTGGATCAAAGCAACGATGCTCACAGGTTCTGTAACGATGTCAGTGGCACTTTCCCGGCTAACGGAAATCTGGGAGCTTTTCAGGAACCCACGGCTGCCGGGCGATACACCACCTTGTATGGCTACGAAGAGTTTGCGCCCATCGACATGGTTTGCACCCCACAGTACTCTAAAGGTGATGCGGTGATGATCAAGATTGAGATCAATAAAAACATCTAAGTATTTTCCTGTAGTCTTAGGAAGCACAATATCTTGGCTGTAAAAATTAAAATTATTTTTGCATCTAATAAAACAACATGAATACAGCAGCCAAGTAGAAAAACTGCGAGAGGGAGCTTCAATGATAGTCATTAGGATTAACAATTATTAGCAATAATGTTTTTCTACAGAAATGTTAGTGCATTAACATATATAGCCGTTAATTTCGCGTTAGGTCCTAGATACGTTTATAATTCATTTTAAAGATTTTTTTTACCATTTGATCTTACTCAAGGCTTCTTTAATAATGACATGTTAAGACAAACCTATATTAGCCCTTTAAGCCCTCAGAACGCAGCGCGGGAGGAAACTGGGGAAAGGATGGGTTTTCTTTTTTCTCTTCCCCCCTTTTCGGGTACCTTCCTGGCTTTCGCATCTTCCCCACTCTTTCGCTTCCGGCCTCCGAGTCTAGAACAGGCTACCATTTTGGAAATGTACAAGGACAACAAATGTTGATTTGTATTCTTTTATATGAGGGTTTAAAAGGAAAGACGGTTACCGACCCTAGCCGTGTGTTGATCATTATCTGCTCAAATGAAGTGTCTGCTTGATGTTATTGAAAATGTGAGAAAAAAGTTCATATTCTCCATTACACAAGTTTTCGCTTACTGGAGAATGTGACTTTCCTATACAGGAGGGGGCGGGGGGAGGGTATTATGACCCCAAATATTTCTACCAGTGTCGACGTAAATATTCGTACAGTTAAATGCTGCACATGCAAATACCTACAATCAGAATATATTCTGTTTTGTAGCATTATCGCTATAAGGGCCTTGATAATGTTTGCCCGTATTTAACCTTGTGGGAGGAAAATCATCGTTTTAGTCCTATCCGAATGACTTTACTGTATAGTCTATTTCGTTTAGAAGTAACGCTAGAAAACCGCCTTTATTGTTTTTTTTGCGAGGCAGCAATGACCATGATGTTAATACATTTATCGAAATGTGTAACACTGGTTTACAATCATGTAGACTGCGAGCTGTCTCTTATCATTTGTTTTGAGTCGGTATCGCGGTAGTAGATTGAGAGCATGCGTGGGCGGAAGCTTTAATTTGCATAATTTTACTTTTTTCTCTCGCCGCGCGTGGCTCTGAGGCGAGAAGGTACGACCGCTTGCGGTCTACAATCATACTAATATCGCATCGATTTAAAAATGATGCCACGTAGTTACAGTAGGTTATAATTGTTTGTTTATGTAGACAACTAGGCCGAAGGGTTGTGTAGGGAATGTAGGGTATCAGAGACAGTGTTGAAATTTTCTAGTTATTTTCTCGTTGAAAACGTATATTCCACAATGTAGTCATAAAAGTAAAGCTGCAAATTATGAAGGGGGTGGCGAAAGATTTTCTTGAAATGTCATGTCATTTTAAAAACATTGACTCTTTTCAGTTTTTGTCGCAATGAAGGAGGTGAAGGCGTGCTTCCGCCTCGAGGGAGTGGTGCTTGCCGTGGATTGACATGTATTCTCATAGTATGATTCTCCTTAAGAGTAAACTTTATTTACTTCTTTCGCCACTCCTATTTTATACAAAAAAAGGCTTTCGGTAAGTTAAACAGTGAGTAAAATATGTTCACATATTATGTATTATCGGTTGTAGTGTCTTAAATCAATAAAGTAAACGTGAAACGTTACGCATTATTTTTTGGATAATTTGATCATTTGGTTGCATAATGTAAGAAGCCCGAGGGGGTGGGGGGTGGGGTACTTTCTATGATGGCCTATACGGGGAGGCTCCGCCCGAAAGGGGCACCTTTTTCAGGCTTCAAGTATACAAAAGGGGTTGGGTCTGTGAAAGGGCCCAAAAGGGCTAACAGATAAATTTCATCGCTTTATAAAGTCGAGAAAACTTTCTATCATATGTTGATTCCTATTTTAAAAAAAGTGCATTTACAGCAGTTAAAAGGAATGCAAAGTTCTAAACAAGGTATACATATATGTGAAAGGGGTACCATTTGTCAATAGAAGGTATACAAAAGGGGTTGAACTTAACCTAGGGGCGGCGCCTTCCCGCATAAACGTTTGTTGAGTACCTCCCCCGGGTAAGAAGCTTGGGAGCAATAAACCCTTTTGGGTGTTGTGCTGTCGTTCGATCTAGCTGTTGAAACTTGCCTCTGAGTATCGCTTTTCTTCTGGGTGTTTTTTCTCGCTGTTCTTGTGCATATGAAAGTATGAAACCCGTTAAACTCTAAGTTCGTTTGGGGAGGCCTGTGACATGAGCCCGCGTTTAACCATGGCAATCCAAGATGGCGGCCATGTCACGAGAAGGTCAGTAGTCTTTTTATTGTTAGAATTTTTTTTTTAAAAAAAAGCGTTTTTCCTATAATCCCAGTCATTATAATATGTTTTTTTTTGTACTCAACTCATTTCTGTCTTTATTTAGTGTCATGGTACCATGAAACATCTTCGTCTGCGGGTTAAATCACAGCGGAGTTAGCGTACTAAGTTTAGAAGAATTAAAGAAGATGTCTTCTACAAGTAGGAGTCGTCTTTGTAGCTGCTTCCGTTCGATGTGGGCTTCAACAGTGCAGTTTATTGTGTCACAGGATGAGAGTGTTAAGCGGAGACGACGCTTGTTGTTGGGGATTGTTGTTTTACTGCTGGTGGACGTTCTTTGGGTCGGCTCGTCAGAACTGACAGATGTGAGAACAAATTTACTACTAATTATCAATAATTTGTTACTAGATAGCGTACGAAAATTACCACCAAATATTTAAAAGCAAGCCTTTTCATCAGAACATTGCAATAAAAATTAATAAATGTAATTATCATCTGATATTCTTGGTTTGCAACCATATCATCTGGCAAGGTTGCTATTTTGGTGATCAATACAAAATACACATATTTTTTTACACAGAATTTGTATGAGAACAGAGTTTAAAGTTTCTAGTAGAGAGAAATGCTCTCGTTATTGACTACCAAAATGTTTACCATGATGTCAATGCATGTAAACCAGCTGATGTGGTTGCTTTTAAGGGGTGGACCATTAATTAGAAAAGTTATGGAAGGGGTGGGGAAGTTTTTGAGCTGCATGAATGTTTTTGTTAACATGTCCATTATTTCTTTAGTTATTTTTCCCTTGCATTAATTTTGTGTGTGTGTGTGTGTGCTTGTCCCTCCCTCTCCCCACTTCCTCCCATAGCTTTTCTAATGGTTTGCCTAATAAATAGAATGGCAAGAAACTGGTGGGACTGTGCAAATAACTGATAAATAATGCATTTCCCATTATTTATTGAGTCAGTTGGGGTTAGATTATGTCTTCAATGCAGCAAACCAACCACATAACCTCTCTACCTTTCCAAAAACAGATCTGACCCCTCTGCAGTGGCATTTTCAAACCAAACTGAGGCCCAAAGTCCTGACAAAAATTTTTTGCAGACCAGCCCCCCACCCCCCCACCCCACCTCTTATCTAAGAGTCTGGATCTGCCACTGCTCTGAACAAATTTTTGACAGCTTTTATGAAAACAAAAGTTTGCTTTCCACTAGACAGAAATTAGTTACCATCGCTGGCATCGCAGGGTTGTGTAGATAAGAAGTGGAATGTGTAAGTTAAAGATTCTTTCACTCTCTCATATCTGTCAAAAATCCATGTTGCCCAGATCTCCAGTAAGTCCATAATGATTACAATCTTGTTTACCGTAGTTATTTGGTTATAAGGCGCACAGTTTTTTCAAGAAAAATCCGTCATTGGGTGGCAAGTTAGTGCTAAAATTGGGGTGCATCTTATAGCCAAGTATTTTCACGTAACAAAATCTTAAGATCACAATTTGAGAAGAACTTACAGTTTAAAAAACACAAGAAAAAGATACTTGTTGTTGGTCATTGACTTTTATAGATTTTTTTTTTTTTTTTTTTTTACGTTACAGCTTTACTACTTACTTGTTTGCTACTTACTTACATTAAAATACCTAAAACTAGTTTACAACAAACAAAAGGACTACTAAAGACAATAAATAAATGAAAAGAAAAGAAAAGAAAAGAGAAGAGAAGAAAGAAAGAAAAAAGGCGACTCCTCTGCCTAAAACGGTTTTTAGTAATAACTACATTGACAACAATTTATTGCTAATATTAATAACAAATCATAAATATGCATAATTAGATGATTAATAAGATGATTAATAAACAGTGCGGAAAGATATGTGAAATAGATACTTTAATTAAGAAATATTGGCGGTATGTCTAGCTCTCAATTGCACTTTGGCCTTGGTTCATTTACAGAAAATGGATACATAGGAAAGCTTTTATTTTACCAAAAGCTATGTAATGTTGAGAAGTGGACGTAAAGGATTCTATTTCTTAGAAGTTGCATCAATGTTGTGGGACTCTATGTAAAACTGCGATTTAAGGGACATAAGAAAAGTTGTTAAATTCGGAATTTTCTGGTTGACCCTGCAGCTCCATATATAATATCTTGCCAGGAGAAAGCAGAAATTTAGTTGAAGTGAAAACTTGGAGGTGTCTGGTTTCAGGCCCAGATATACAGCAGTGTATTTTGGATAATCTATTGTTATTAGATTGATCTGCTTTAGTTTTTCAGTCAAATTTTCCCAAAAGGTGGCTACTATTGTACAGTTCCAGAAGAGGTGGATTAGGTTTTCGGGATGGATGGTACAGAAAGAGCAGTTCGGGTCCTGCTTTATATCGATTTTTGTTAGGAAAAGGTTCGTTGGTAAAATTCGGTGAAGGAACCTAAATTGAAAGTTTACAAGTTTTGTGCTTTTTGTGCACCTAGCTGCCAGACAATAGGCGCTGGTCCAGTCAGCAGAGCATCTTTGGTTGGATTTAATGCTGTCATTCCATTTCTCTTGGCTCTTAAACGGTACAGTGCTTTTGGAAGAGAGGAGCTTCTGGTATACAACTCTGTTCACTTTATCGTTCTTGAAAAAAGTCTCGGAGAAGGTCTCGGGGCAGGTATTGGGAATGTCTGTGCTACTAGGTTCTTTACTAAGAAAGTTAGTGTTATAATGGTGTCGAAGGGCAGAAATTAAGCCGAAGTACTTTATGGGTTGTATTTGTATAATTTGTAAGTGCTGATAAAATCTGCTAGGGGGAGAAAATTCCGGGAGTCTGTCATTAAGTGGGCTACCTTAGTGATTCCATGCAGGAAAAGATGTTTGTAGAAGACCGGTCTGTTTTCGATCCTTATCAGCGAATTATGCCATATATGTTGTTCAAGGAATTGCTGCTCGGTTTTGATGTTAGCATCAAAATTAATTTCTGACCATATTTCTAAAATTTCTTGTAGAAATGGGTCTTGGACCGATATCGACTTTGAAATGTCACGTTTGTGTAAATTACATGTGAAGACTAGTTTGCCGCCGTACTTCTTAAGTTCTACTTCAAAAAAGTATTTCCATTTTCCGCAGTTAGAGTCGTCGAGGTATTTTTTGATCCAAACAGTCTTGAGCGATTTGGTAAATGAAGCGATGTCAATCATTTTTAACCCTCCATTGTTATAGTCGTTTGTCATGACACTTCGCTTAATCTTATCGCACTTATTGTTCCAAAGAAAGCTGAAGAAAAGATTGTTCATTTCTTTGATAATTTTATGATTTGTTGGCAGCGGAGCTAAAATATACGTAAGTTGAGATGCCGCTAAGCTTTTAATAACTTGGATTTTGCCGAGTAACGTTAGCCGCCTATATTTCCAATTGCTTAATATGTTTTTAATTTTGTCCGCTTTTTCCCTATAGTTTAAGCTTAATGTGATATCAGGATAGGTAGAAAGCCAAACGCCAAGGACCTTAACTTTGTTTTCTGGCCATTTAAAATTCTTCTCGGGAAGAAGTTTTTCCTTATTTCCTGCCATTGATCCAATCCATAGAGCTTCAGTCTTTTTACTGTTGAGTCTGAGACCAGACATACTGCTAAAAGTCTCGATCATCTTAAGTGTGGCGGATAATGAATCTCTAGTACCGTTAAGAATGAAAGTTGTGTCATCTGCATACTGGCTAATTTTAATTTCTGAGTTGTTTACAGATATTCCTTTAATATTCTTGTTCGATCTGGTTGCTTTAGCTAAAATTTCAGCAGATAGTATAAATAGGTACGGCGAAAGAGGGCAACCTTGCCTAACACCTCTTTGTGGTTGAAAAAAACAACTCGTCCAGCCATTGTTTAGGACACAGCTTTCGATGTTCTTGTAAAATGTTTGAATCCAGGTTATCAAAGAAGAGCTGAAACCAAAGTGCTGGAGCGTGCGCTCAATAAAAGACCATTCAAGCGAATCAAAGGCTTTTTAAACACCTACAAAGAGCAATAGCCCAGGGATATTTTGTTGAGAAGCGTAATTTATAATGTTATCTATCAATCTAATGTTTTCTCCAATAAATCTTCCTTTTAGGAAACCGGTCTGGTCGTTATTGATAAGTTTTGGAATAACAGATTTTATTCGGTTTGCGATAGTTTTCGCAGCTATTTTGTAGTCGCAGTTGAGGAGAGTAAGGGGCCGCCAGTTTTTAATGAAGTGCGGTTCTGCATCTTTTTTTGGTATGAGTTTAATGATTCCGCGTCTCTGTGTGATCGACTTTTATAGATTTGGTGGTTCTGAAAAGAACCGGGGTGGCTCTGAAAAGAGCCATTGTATGTCTTAATCAACATTCTCACTGCTTTTTATGGTTTACACAGAGTTATGAATTTAGTTTTCTGTTATACTTACATCCAGTTTGACCAAAACCTTTTTCTTTGCAGTTTATTTTCAAATATGAAGGATTTGACAAGCCTTTTTTCACCACATTCTTCAAGACATCATCATTTATGATATATTTGACTGGATTTCTTTTTTATGAGCCATGGAGGCTTCAATGCATTGCATGCTTAAAGAATGAAACATCCTCAAATGTAAGTGACAAGAAAGAACATTATGATCTCTATGCAGATCCTTAGATTATTTGCCATTTGCGCAGCTCCCATGAAACACCTTGTTTATCCCCCAATTTTTGAAATTTTTGTAATTTTTCCAACTTCTTGTGAAATGACTGTAATACTCAGGTGGAAATTGAAACAAAGGGTGTGCAACTTTGGGGGGGGGGGCGCAGGGGGGGAAGCAAATAAGGTTTATTTGGGGTGATGTGCAAATTGGCAAATTAAACTTTCAAAATATTTTTTTTCATATTTAGGGGGGTCACCACATTAAAGTTCACATGCAATATAGAGAATCTGTTGGTTAATTCAAGGTCACTTAGGGCTTTTTATTGGCATCTCTTAATTTTTTTCACTTGAAAATGCAGCTGATTCCTTATCTTGAATAATCAATTACCTCCTGTTTTGTTCAACTCTCTATTATAAAATCTAAAACCTACTTCTTATTCTCAGTCAAAATCTGTGATCTTACCCTAAAATTTTTAAAGCTCCTCCAAACATGAAACAATTTTCCTTTCCCAGGGGTTAGAAAACTGGATGAATTGCTGTAGCATTTTGTCTGGACCTTTTTTTTTTCAGGTCGTGGTATCTGCTGTAAATCAAGACAGTGAACACACATCTCTTTTAAACTCACCTTCATCCTCAGGGGAAACTACCCCAATCCCAAGACCACTAATGGTGAGTTACATCGTTTTAAACTTCCAAAGGAAGCCACAGTTAAAATTCAACAAATTTCATAAATTTCATGTTATAAAATGCTGAAACAGACAGGTTTCACTTGTATGGTCACCGTCAGTTCATAAAATTTTGTGCAAAGACTCAAAATTATAACAACCATATATTAATAAGATAAAATATTAAATAGCAAAATGAATGACTCGTTACCCCCTAATGGTACCTATACTACTCGTCACCTGTTTTACAAACTTCTCTTGACACTCTCCCAGTTAACAGTGTTGAAATATCCAGGTAAAACAAATTAATGAAAACTACCACTTTCATCTTAGTAACAATGGTTAAACTCTGTTTGCCTGCGGCCTGTAGTTTTCATTACTGTCTTTTGTTAATTGTCAGAATGAGCCAACTTTTGAAGAAATGACAGATGAAGACATTTCAACCAGCCGATCAGCTGAAGTAGCTAGTAGTTCCTTTGAAATAATTCCAAGTAAGTTAAAAACACATGCCTTGGAGAGAGATTTACCTAGTGTTTACTAATAGTCTGGGTCCTCTGTGACTCACATCCAACATTGTCATTGTTTAAATTTAAAGTAAATTAATGTTAACTTTTAAATCACGTGCATGGCACACTATCAACTGCAAATACTTTGCAAAATCAGATAACAGAATTAGGTAATTTTACAAGTGGTAATCAAGTGAAAAATATTTTGAATATTGGTCACTTGCTTTAATACACTCATTATCTTAACTATATAACAGGACCTAGGCGGGTGACATTTAGCAGTCTGAGAGAAGTGCGGCAATTATCAGGTAAATACATGTAATTTGGTTTATTAGGGAGCTTTTTTTGGACAGTATTTACAGCTGAATCATGAAAAATTTCCACGTTTTAAATGGAGCAAATTGGCATTTTTCAGACCATAATTCTGAACAGGCAAGGTTGACCAGACTTCCTTACCACTTGGGTGAAGATCAGAAACTTCCTGTCCATCATGTTGCTAGGGTTGCCTTGCTATTCTGCTTACTGGTGAGTTGTAAGGCTTTTTTGAAGTAGTTAGGGGGTGGGGTAGGGTGTGTGTGTGATGTGACCAAACCCTCTCTCCTCTCTCCTGGGGAAGTTAACAAATCAACAACAATCTGCAGGCAAGTGGTTTCACTGCAAAGTTTTGAATATTTTGACGTCATTTCCATGGTCGATAACAGTAAAGACTGAAAAATTGTTGTTGATTTGTTTTTTACAATAACATTTGACAGTTTGGACATACATTTTCTTTGAAATTTCTTGAAAAGTTACGCGCACAAGACAGAGCGAAACAAATTTTGCCACCATCACATCATTTCTAGGGTCTGTACATTTATCAAACAAAGCTCTCCACCAATCAGTACACAAGAAATTACTCAGTTATTGTAAAATGAATATTTGTCACAATTATGATTACTATTTGCAAAAACATTTAGGGGTAAAAACTAGAGGTTGTGTCTCAGTATGTCTCTTTGGTTCAAGTAGTTACATGAGGATTGGGAAACCTACTACTACGGTACATTTTGCTGTCAGATCTTTGAAATATTCTGATCTCTCTCCTGTGCAGAGGCTCAAAGGGGTATGGTGAAGGGGGGGCGGGGTGGGTCCAAGTGCAAAATTTAGTCGGTAATTGGCAAAAACGTTTTTTGCCTGCACTCACTTTGTACAGAATGGTCAATCGAAACACTTCAGAGGAGAGAAATATTAATTTTGGTGACTGTGTTTAACATCTTGCACACCCCTTGCCCTTCTTGCAATATTTTTTAAACATTTACTTCCTTTGGAGTTTCCTGCATTCACTGTTGGAGACAATGATCATTAGATAAGGGAAAGTCAGATTAAACATTTTATCTTCTCTACTGACTAGCTTCTCTTCCACAGTGGTTTTGTGATAACTGCACTTATCAGGAAGCCATTGCACACACGTCACCAGCAGCAGTAAATATTTTGTCATCCTCATCAGGTACGATTTCTTGCTACAGGTATTCCTTAGCCTAAACTTAGCCTCTTAAGCTTAAGTGTGGGTTTGGTTTTTTTTTTTGGCATTGGCTTTTGTGCCAGGAGATAATTATGATTACTTTCTCAAGCTCATTGACGTGTAATGTGCGCTATCTCGTCTCACATCTTAGCTGCTCACCCTGAAAAAGAGAGCTCCCTAACAACGTAACATAACTTATCACATGCAGTTTGTGCATCATTGTGGTTATCGTTTACTTGTTATTCTTACCTCATTCAACAATCCGCTATTTGGTAAACTTTTCAACAGATATCCAGTGACATTATCATTCTACGAATTATAACACTTTTAACCTCTGGTGAATTAGGGCCAAATTTATGCCCACTGTGATCTGGCTCGTTAAAATAAGCGGCCAAAAAGCTTGTAGGATCATCCAGCTCTAACATTGTACATAAATAATCTATTCGTTTCTCGAAGGAAAGTGACCGATAATAGGATAAATAGTGTGTAGGGTACTGGCCTTCTATTTTCACTTCTGAACCAGGCCAAAACACAACAGCACTTTTCTTAAAAGCTTATTGATTCGTGATCCACACCGGTTCTCCGTTCCACCATTTTGAATCCAAGTAATGCTTTGACACCGCATCTAAGTAGAAAGTATCGTTGAAAACAGGATCGAAAAACGTATTTGCTACGATCCCGTGGCTTTCCTCATAGAGTCCTGTAACTAACGTGAAATGATTCGGGAATGTCTTGGTAACAAAGGTATTGATAAGGTGTTTCGCTTTGATGCCATTACTTGCGATAAAATTCAAATTCGGAGTATGAACTTTCGCCATGTAGTCCCACCGGAAACCATCGTACGAGACCAAAATTACAGTGGGTTGTGTCAGAACGATTCTCTTATTAATCGAGGCGATGGCGTTACGATTAGGAAGAAATAAGAATAATATCAACATGTGCAATCGGTCTAGCCTCATAATGAAAAAGTTTTGGAACGGCACGAAAGGCACTGCAATTTCTCGTTTTCCAATAACGGGAAGACCCTGGAGACGAGTTCCAAACCGTGAACTTGCTCTGGAAAGCTGACGTCACTTACGTGTTACCTGTGTGTTACCTAATACTTTTATACCTATGGTTACCTATCGACTTATGGACAGGATATTTAGATCAATTTACATACGGTACTTCTAATAGTTCAGTAAGTTCAGTCCGCAAGAAGAATTTTTTTCCCTTATATTCGAAGATTTGCAAGTATGAGTTCCCAAAGCGTTCCTTGTATCTCTACTGGGACAACTTTAAACAATCGGTAGGTTTACAAGGCTTTTACCAGTTTTATTAGTTAGCCGAACGTGCAGCATAAATATTGCCACGGCGGATTATATTCTAGTGTTAGTTTTAGTTGTGTTTAGTCTTGACAAAGAGATTCTGAAATGGCTTTCCATTTGCCCAAAATATTCTCGCAAGTTGCCCAAATCATTTTTTTACGACCGAAAAAAATTCAAAAACAAAAACATCGCCCCAAAATGAGGAAAATGTTTTCCTTCTTATTCGAATGACTCAAGAAGACGGCCAAGTAGAGAAACTACAGGTTGGGTAGCTTAATTCAGGTGGAAAGTGGAAAAGTACACTTGAGTGAGTGTACCAAGCTTAGTGTCGATGAAAGACTGGTTGCTCCAGATCCGGACATGCTCGGCTACAGAACTTTCGTAGTGATTTAAAGCGTTGGGTCACGGTGAAAAAAGTTTAGCGTCTCGTAAGCTCTTGTAATCTCTCGGTGCGAGTAGACCTGAAACCTGGAATGAATATTCCAGCACAAATGCCCTCCTTATATACTGTGAAAACGAGCGAACAATAGTTCGTAATTTGAAAGTGTAAGAACAAATTCTGGACAAAAAATACAAAGAATATAGCACATACTCAGCATACTTGCTATGCCCCGTCCTAAAACGAAGGAAAATTCATTTCCTGTTCCTAGAGCGACCGCGCGCCCTTTAAAAGTTGGCGCCAAAATTTATACACATATTCATTGTAACCGGTCCTAGAGAAAAATAATCGGTCATATTATCGGTTGAATTTTTAAGGTTTATTTTTTAAATTATCTACCACTAAGCATGCTAAATAAAATGAACATTTAAAGTTAATTTTGAGCAAAAATTGGGGTAAGGGATCCCTTTCGCCTTAGCTAAGCTGAGAATATATAAAAAAATACCAAGTCAATGTTGACAAGCAACCAGTGACAGCAAAATATTCACTTAAAAGACGCAAAAAGAAGATAGCAAGAACTTAAATTAAGGAATCGCTTAAAATAGTGATAAAATAAGATTTTGCAATTTGTCTGGCTCAGTTTAATTTACAGAGATATATGTCACAACAGCATGATAAACTGCTGTTTACGTGCAAACCAATATGAATTCCCTAGTTTACAAAAATACGAATCAAAATTCGTAGATAGACATGTTACGGTTTTCACTCAAGTAAGCTGCACAAACTGTTTTCGTGTGATTCAAACACAAAGAGAACATTACAAGTACTGAGCCATGTATCGGGCGCGAGAAGTAACACTAGTTAATAACGTTGAAAAGATCGTTCGCCTCCCCATAATAAGTTAATAAAAAGACCAATGAGTGGTTAACAAAAAGATATTGTATTTTAGAATGAAAATGTGATAAAATGAAACCAAGTTCAGTGGTGCAGAGTAAAATACATGATCAATTAAAGATACTTTTATTCTCTTTTAAGAGATGCTGAATTAAGGAAACTACATCTCCGCTTCCAAGAATGGTGTTCTGTTCAAGCTAACTGATTTTAAGTGTGTGCTGAAAGAGATCTAAAGAAAACAGTTCAAGTCTGTATAAAATTGAAGTTAACTTTACCTTGAACGTTCTTTGTCTACATGTATTTCAAAGCATAACTTTCGTAATTTCTTTCAGGTGGATCGGTTAATGTGCAAAAACTCCAAATATCAGTCCATATCATCTAAATGTAGACTACTGATTAATAATTTTCCTTTGCTTCATGTTTTGCTTAACGCACCCGCGCTAGTAGCGTTTTTAATTCAAGTTCAACTGATGTAACTTCAAAATGGACAGATGCAAGTTATTTTCCACTAAACTGATAGGTTCTGTTTTGTGACGAAGCAGATGCACACAACTCGGTTTCTCACTGTTTTCACTTTATAATATTAAAATGCTCATCTATTCCGTGCCATGTTGGGTAATATCTTGGCCCGATAAATTACACCATTAGTTTCCTTCGCCTGCGGAAATCCAAGGATGACCAACAGAAATTTTACAGCTTTGAACAGATCGATGGCGGAAGTTAAGTGTCGCTCTGAACCTGGTCTAAAAGACATCAGGACATTCTGCCATGGAACCCGCTTTCGTTTCTCATACAAAATATTAAAAACGTCGTCTGTCGATTCTCTTTAGTTTCCCAGTGAACTCCATTAACTGTACAACTACGTTTTAATTTCAAAGAATCCCGTTTGTAGTTTAGCATTTTTGTTCTTGAAATAGAATGTATTAATTCTGATTATGTATTTCTGTTACCAATCAGAGAACGCTTATATCTTCTACGTCATTGTTTTTGACAAGCAGGTCACGCTATACTCTCGTTTGTTTGTTTTTTTCTTCTGATGAGTGATGAGCGCCCTGAGTGCATTGTGAACTGACTCAAGAATCCGTCTTTGATTTTTTATTATCAGATTGTTATTTATTCACGCATTCACTTTGTATAGAGCACTCCTGCAACTAATCGAAGCAACAAATATTGCACGATGTTCATGGACAGCGGGAGGGAGGCAAAGCACGAAAAGCGAGAGACCCTCGGGCACTAGCGTGCTACGGTTTGTTGACGGAAAGGGTCATGTGGTACCCTGCGAGCAGAGGCCGATCGATCTTCCTATATAAGACTTATCTAGGAAGATCGAAGGGCTTCTGCTAGCAGGGTAGTCATATGGACACTTCAGCCCGGTTACCGGGATGAAAGCGGGATGAACTGGCGGTCCGGATGGCGTCGTCTTGCATTTTCTTCATCATAAGCATGCCGGAAGAAAACCCCAAGTGCGGCGATGTGATTGGTAATCCTACTAAGGAATCACATGCCCTTGGTTCACATGAAATCACATGCCCTTGGTTCAAAGACTTAAATGACAAAGCAACAAAGCGGAAGAGCGCTTTCCAGTTCAAAAGGAAATGCGCTAGGTTCCGAGCGCGTAGCGCCCTCCGGCCGGAAGCTCTGTGTCTTGCTTGATTGGTTAGCGAGGTAAGCTATGTCCAATTAGGGCAAAGGCAATTTAAATATTCTTGTGGACACTATTTGGAAAACTTCAGGAAAGTGTGCCAGCTCTGGAAGAAAGGGAGAAAAGGAAAAGGCTATAGTTTTGGCTTTGCTTTTACGACACAGTAGAGGATTTGCAAGTATGAGTTTTCAAAGTACCCCGGTTTGTACCGCTAGCGGGACAAGAAGTAACAATCGGTAGGTTTATTACGTTTTTAACATTTAACAGAACGTGGTTCCAAAACGCTTCGCCGGCAAAGAAACTCTCAACGCTTATTAATTTTGTTGTTTTGCATTGGGTTTCGTCTTTAAAGTGCAAAACCTAGAGATTCAGAAAGATTTTGCTTAAAAATTCTACTGAATATGTAATTGGCCCCTGTTAAATTTTGACTACAATGATAAATTGTAGTTGTTATTATATCATGATCGTGCGGACTAAAGGAAATCAGTTGTCAGCAGTTGGGTCGTGCATCCCCTAACTCAAAGCGTCGGGCGAGCACTCTAACTCTGATCTGACGTGTAGATAGACGATACTCACTGTTTACTAGACTAATATGCGAAACACGTCTTACATATTGTCGAAAGCATAGTTTATGGTCAGAAATGTAACAGAAGAGGCAAAAACGTTGTCCACGCATGTAGCTGGGAAATCAGGAATACACCGACTACACACCGGGCGAGTGCGGAACGAAGTAATAGCATCAGAATAAACTTAATTTCGACCTTTTGTAGGCAATAAGGCTTACGTTCACTTCTATCATCGCCCCATGTAAGGGAATCCGGATTCCGGAATCTGGGAAATTTTTGCCTGTAGAATCCCGAATCATAGAAAATTTTGCTTGTGGAATCCGGAATCCTGAGCCGGAATACAGCTGTAGGAATCCAGAATCTAACTAACAATTGGAATCCGGAATCCAAGGTCCACTGAAAAAGATTTCGAATCCAGTAGTGAGAATCCGGAATCCATGGCGTGGAATCCAGAAACCAAGACTGTCTTGGCCCTTAATAAATGGGGTGGGTGGAGGTGTGTTGGAGGTGTGTCTGTCAATCAGCCAATCAGAAGCTATACAACGAAGTATGTCATCTTTAATATTTAAATCATTTTCGAGGTATCCATTTCATCTCGCTCCACATTAGCTGATCGTCGAAACACTTAGGAAAAAATGCTAATTTTCAGTTTTTCTTCGTTCACGACACACAACAACACAAAACTAGCAGAAGTTTTGGAAGTATGAGTACTCAGCTAACTGGAACAGCGATTTACACCCGGTAGGTATAAGCATGCATCAAGCTTTTACGATCGAGGTTTTTTTTTTTTTTTAACGGCCGTGGTATATACACGTACACACAAACACGGTATTGAGCTTCCTTGGAAAAGGGCTTTTCATCATGAATATTAAAGGTACAATTGATAAATAAAGAAAAGCGTTTTCACAATAGGATTTTTTACAATATCACGTCTGCCAACTTACTTTGGTTTACGCATTTCTAATTCATGGTATTTAAAAAACACCCCGCAAAAAAAGTTAAATTAACTTAAAAGAGGGTTACATTTCTTTTTATTAATAAACGTTTCAAAATTTTGACTTGATTATTAAGAAAGAGCTGGTTTGCCGATGCTATGTCAGGACGGTCTAAAAAACGAAAATGATGAAGTCGCTAACCGAAGCAAATATTTTTGTATGCGGACCCCCATGGAAACACCAGACACTTGAAGTTAAACAGCAAGGCAGGCAAAACTGCTTGTTCGAGAGGAGATTCATTGATTGGTTCACTAAATGACTATTTCAGAGATCTTCTGTTATTTTCTAATATGCTCTACGAAGAAACATATATATTTTTCGTAAGAACCAGACGGACAAAGCTCACTTTCGCCTTCGAATGGCAAGTCACTACTTACGATCAAACTAGATCTTTGAACCTTCCTATTTTTTAAACTACGCTGGTATTACGACTAGTCATGGGGAGACAGGCTTAAGATGCAGATGAAGAGCGAGGAAATCGGGGAACGTTCTGATCAATAAAAAATTACACAGTTTGTCCAGCTACAAAATAATTACTTATCGAAAATCGTTATAGAATCCCCTACCCGAAACACCCATATCGACAATCGCTTTATAAGCCGTGACTTAAACTGAAAAGAGGGGAAGCACGACATAGGTAACTTGTGGTAGCTAAAATAGGAGTCATCTCATTTATATTTCATTTATGGTAGTTAACTTTAGATTATAAAATAACTTGAGCGATCACCTTCAACAATGACAACAATAGCCACGTTCAACTTATCTTGAGCGGTGTACAATTTTTCTCTTGCGGCCTTTATTAAACGTGCTTAAGAGAGTGCACAGAGGTTCCATGATTATCCTCTCATGACATTGTCCGTTTTCTGATTGTAACACACGTACCACTGTTTCGAAGCGTCTCCTGCCGTGTATTATTAAAATTATGTCATTATGCAAAGTGATCAGACTGACTAGACAACTTGATAACATAAATGCCGTTCCTTTCGCATCATCAATGCCGGAAGCAGTGTCGATCTCTATTGCTCTAAAACTGCATTTTTAAGTCAAAGCCAACCAGTCAATTTGCAGACGATTTTTCATATCTCAGTAGTTCGCATTTGCAAAATCCAGTCTTGAATGTATTCTTGTTGCCAATCAGAAGGCCGTTTTTATTGGCCTCAAGTATGTAGAATTTCATTTGCGACCTGATCGGTCCCGAAGTGAAAATGGCGGTCCTGCGACTTACCTCGCAGCAAAAACCCAGCAAGAAGGTACGTCTAAGAGCAGGAAAACCTCAAAAGACTTTTAAAGAAAAACATATGATTATATCAAAGCTTACTCTCCGGCGTATGATCTGATTCGCGAACACATGATCAATTTCCTCGCTTATGACTGTGACGTCAAACAGACGCTCGAAGTCAATCAAGAAACTGTTTTATTAGAGCCGCCTCCTTGTTAGTGACAAGCCTTAAGACTTCCCTTGGAGAGGGGTAGTTTGCAATGCATCATAATATGTTCCTAGAAAACTCTCATGTTCTATTTGGATTATTTGTTTCTATTTATTTAAGAGGAGTGCTTGTAAACTAGCTGTAAAGCTAAGTTCACTTCCACTATAAACAAAGCTTTACCTTTCACCAGGAGACAAAATTGAACCTGCCTCTCCCCTCCCTACATTGTTAATGCCACAGGAAGTATAGAAATTTAAAGGTCCAATGAATTCAGCCAATCAGAAGAAAAACTAATAACTGTTTATAATTACCTATAGAAAACAGGGGTCGCAACAAAATTTTTTTGTCGTGCGTTTACACGTACGGTACGACTGCTACGACAGAGCAGAGAGGTCATTTTGAAACTGGTACGTACGAAAACAGATAATCGGACAAAAGACCTAATTTTTATCCGTTATTTTCATTTGTGCATAATTGGAAACAGAGTTTTTGCAAGTATGACTTCCAAAAGCAGTCATTATCGGTAGGTCAGAAGGTGTTAAGGTTTAATACACTAGCGAAGGCGTGATACTCAAGCTGACGTCACCTCCTATTGATATTAATGTGCCGCGTTAAAAATTTGAATAACAAAACAATGTTTGTAAACGGTGATGTCTTATATACAGAACTACTCAACAGTGGAAATACTCAATACTGTTTTGCCTTTTTTTTTTTAAATTGTGATACCGTCCAAAACAAATAACTTAAAATGGCTTCTCGATAAAAATATTTACGATCGGATCAGATTTTAAGCACGACATACAGAGCCTGATCTAATTATAGTCCACCGTTTTAAACATTTTGCCGGGACTATTTTAGAGCATAGGGTCCCCTAAAGCTTTTAAAAAGTGAAGAAGGTTACATTTCGTAAGAGTTTTACGTGCCGTTGTCAGTAATTATAGGGAATCCGGCGTAAAAGGAGTAAGTAGGTAAGTAACAACTTTATTTAATGAGGGTAGCACATGACAGGAAAAACTGATGAACTAGTGGCCCTCCAAAAAGATAGAAATGAAGAAGAACTGAATTCTATTTTTTATTTTACCCCCCCACCCCCACCCTACCCCCACTCAACAAAATGCTTTTTAGTAAACTGTGTGTTTAAAAAATAATACTCAAAAGTTCTAGAAAGCCCCCCTTTTTATGGCCACAGGAAAAAGAGTACAGTATCGTTAAACAAATGCTTCCCCAAGTTTCTTCTTGGCTACTTCCTAATGTGATTGAAGAGTCCACAAACCAGATCACTGTAATGACTTCATCATTCGATTCAACCTCCAATAACGGCCACCTTTCCACAATGGCCACCCGGCTCTACAACGGCCTCTTTATTCTGTCCCGGCGGAGAGTCCATACATTGACTCTTGTTTAAACCTCTCTACAACGGCCTCCTCTCCACATCGGCAACGGCCACTAAAACCTGTCCCCAACTGCCAAAATAACCCTTCGACAAACGGCCAGTTTTTTCAGCGACTGACGAAAAAGTCAAGAATGGTCTGTGATACTTGATCCGTAAGGCGCGTTGATGATTTAATCGCTACAATCGTATTTGTTTCATTTATATTCTTTTCTTTACTGCAGCAGCAAGCATAAATTGTCTACGATACTTATAGCGAATGTTGCGAACCTCTCTCGTTTTGTCACGTTAACAATTTGATTCAAAACATAATTCAAGCTTTTTGTTTATTTTCTCTCTATTATTTATGATGGCATTTTCACCGTTATGGGAGACAGTGAGCATGAACCGCAGTAACTACGTAATTTGCATTAATATCTTGAGGGCAGTGAATATTATCATAGTGCACCAACTATTATTTAAAAGTCAATGCTCATTTGCTTTGTTTTGATTTCTCAGGGGATTCCTGGAAAGCAATGGAGCTCAGCAACACCCAGAGGAAAGGCTACAGCCAACAGAACAAGAGGTACGTAGATAAGTTTGCCAGAGGTAGTTGAGGATATTTACTTCTCTAAAGTAGATTAATGTGCAATTATTATCACACACATAATGGTTCATTATCCTTAAAAAAATTTTATAATAATAATTATTTTAGACAGCTTATAACCATTGGTAACCAATGTGAAATATTTACGTAATGTTAAACTTGTAGGAAGTCATGGTTCAAGAAAGTAGAGAAATTGACCTGAGAGAGCGGATGGAAGGGCAGGCTAATGGAGGTGAAGACAATTTAGATCCTGTCTTTTACGTACCAGCATATACGCCTAATCAGCTAATGGAGTTGGAGGTTCCCTTGCAACCCCTGCTGCAGTCAGTGCCTTTTAGCCCTGTACGTGAGCAAGCCAATGAAGGATACCTTCCAGTGACTGTACCCTCAGCAAATCAACTGAGTTATAGACAAGAACAGACAGGAGCATCTGTGTTGGCTAATCGAGCTGGGTACCCTCCTGAGGCAGCAAATAACGTTGGAAGACTTCCAGTTGAGCATCCCGACATGCCTGAATTTCCGCTACATCAGCATCAGATTTTAAACAGGCAAGTGTCATAATCTGTCGTGCTTTCGTTATAACATTTTATGCTACTATACTTAGTAGTAGTCGGGGAATCGAACAGGTAGGAGCTTCTCTCTGATCCGGTTTCTGCTGCACCCATTAACAGTCCCGCGATGTCTTCCTTTCTTTTTCGTTTCCTATTTTTTAATGTTTTTGAAATTAATTTTGGACAAACTTGAAGTCTCAGAAATACTTTCTACTGCAATAGACTGCAGCGAGAACGTTAGGAATTGATGGTGGTACTCTTATTCTACCATTACGACTACAAGTCAGCAACTTTGTTCAAAGTGTATAAGATAACGAACAGGGCACCTCGGTATAGACGTTTCAATTGTAAAAAAGTTGATTGCCTCATTGTTTGAATGAATGGATGATATTAAATTAAATTTTCTTGTATGCAAACTGCAATGCGTTATATAAATCGACTTTCAATCAGTGAGTATTTTGGTCATCCCAGACTCACGGAGACCACTGGCATTAAAGTTTTTATTGTCACGAGGCGTGGCCATAGGTCTCGATTCTTGGTACAACCGTATAAGTGTTTTAGGTAAAAAGTGTCAAATAACCGATTAGCTGAAGTGCATTCCACATTAAGGTGACTCGACCTATTATTGTGTGAGGGTACCATCCTACTTTGAAGCTCTCTGGTATCCCCACCTTTACATTGATCGTAAGTCTAACATATACCATGGATAACTACATATAGATCAATCCAATTTTTGTTGATCGGAGTAAATGTCACGTGGTTATATTGCCACGCCTCTCTGGGGTCTGAGTCGAAATTCTGCTGTTGCCGACATTTTTTCGTGAACATCTCTTGGCTACATATAGTTCGCATTACTGCCTTTCGTTGAACAGAGTTTCACCAAAATCGCTAAGACCCAATGAGAGAAATCAGCGGTTTCCAAATTTAGGTCATAATTTATGTGAAAATGATTAGCGAACTTTACACGTTTATATCTAATAAACTATGAGGTTTATCCCTTTATTTTGGGGATCTTTATAACAGATGGGTCCTTGTAAGTCAGCAAAAAGCTTTAGGGCCTTGTAAATGCGCGCGATTTCGAGCAATGCAAACATATAGAAATTATAGTTTTAACTATTTGTTGACGTTTGTCAGCGTTTAAGAGTCCTTCTCACGAAAAAAGCATTTTCTTAAAAAATCGTAGTTTTTTTCCTTCAGATTTTTTCATGGCCACAATTGGTTAACTAACTACCCGGATTCTGAATTTCAATCTGTAGCCGGGGCGGAGGTGAGTCGATCGGTAAAGAAACACAAATTCACTCTCTGACCATGCGAGGATGAGGGCCTTTACAACGATTTCAACCAAAAGCCAGTCTACTCTCTTACAATTCTTTAATAATGTGGCTTGGAATCACGTAAAAACTGAAATAACAATACAGCGAAACATCCATAACTAACAAAAATATGTCTGGACGCGAAATTATATATGGGGGCGTAACCAAAAATAAAATGTACAATTAGCGACTCAAAAGGTTTAAGGATAATAAGCAGCATAATTCGGAATACAATAAAACTACATGACGTCTGTAAATAAAGGATAGTGAAAACATACCTCTTTTCCCTATCTGAACTCTTTTAAAAACTCTAAAATAAACGTAGACTACGAGCAGTCTCTCTTTTTTCTGTAGTCTGTCGAGCAAAACGCTAGACACGCAAATGGCCACGCGCGTGACTGATGGCGCGAGACGGGAGAGGCACGAAAATAAACTCGTCTTTCTTTCTTCCAAACAACTTGTCTCCCCGAGTATACGATTGTGTAAGATAATATCTGCGTTAATAACTGTGTTACATAACTACGACGTAGATGTTACGCAACGAAAAGTAACGTGATTACACAATCTGATTCTGTTACTCCAAAGAAGCAGTGGTATATGGCAAGGAGCACTCCTACAAACTATGTACCATGTAATCTAATAAACTGAACTACAGAGAGGGGAGAGTCGGTCCGTTTATCGACAGTCACGTCATGATTAACGGGCCCGGAAAGTTGTTGTTGTTTACATTTAAGAGTGAGACTGGTTTCCTTTGTTAGCCAGGAAGCCACGCTCTTGTTCTTTAGATTTTCATTTAACCTCATCCCAGAGCTTTCACCCCCTCAAAGGGAAAAGCCTTGGGACGATTGGGGATGAGGTTGTTTGAATTCGGGGCCCCAGGCCGCTCGAGGCTACTAAGCCACACTAACACGACTAAAAAGAAGGCTATACGTTGTTCAGTGAAGGCAACTGGTGGAGTTGTTTTACTGACTTATCGTTCACCAAAAGGGAAATGGTCGGATTATGTTCAGACTGCTGGAAACATTTTGCTCTTCTCAAACTGAGTTGCTTCTATAACTTCGATGATCCACTCAATTACCTCTAGTTATCCTTCGAGTTGTATTATAGATGTTTTTTATATATTCATTATTTTATCTTCATCTTCCATGGATTTACAACAAACCACTGAACCAAATCAGACCAGCCCCCTTGGTTAATTTGTAAGCTCAATTCTGGGTTAGATTTCGCGCGCTGCACCGGTCATGGTATTGCAGAGGTCCAAGGTTTCGAGGTCGTACTAGCCTGAATTTTACGACTGCGTTGTAAAGGTTCCTTCTTACTGCTGTGATGTTCTGCATTTAATTTTTTATTGACTTTATCCTGCAGTTCTATATGTTCACATATACATTGTTTGTTAATCACCGTTTCAAATCCTTTTTGACAGATTAAAAAGACGTTCAGTCTAACCAATTTCAACAGTTTTCAAAAAATAACTGATATAATGATAAGGTGATTATTATTTCCATAGGTTATATCCCCAAGAGCCAGTGCCATCCATTGGTCAGAACTGTGGTGGAAAATATACTTGGAAGATAAAGCATTTCTCTCAGCACATCCAGGATGCTTTCAATGGAATAATAACATCACACGGGAGTCCTCCAATTTACACAGGCCTACAAGAATACAAGTTCTTTATGCGTATCTTCCCAAACGGCGTTAATGGTGGGGATGAACGGCACATTGGCCTTTTTGTCGGCATGATGCAGGGAGAATACGATACTATTCTGGAGTGGCCCTTCTGTGGACGAATCGTTCTCACCATCAAGGATCAAACTGGTGATGTTAATGGCTTACGCAACGATATCAGTGGCACTTTCATGGCGAAAAAAAATGTGGGAGCTTTTCAGAAACCCACTGCCGCCGGGCCATACAGCACCCTGTATGGCTACGCAGAGTTTGCACCCATAGCCCTGGTTTGCTCCCCACAGTACTTAAAAGATGATACTGTGATGATTCAGATCGAGATTCATAAAAACATCTAAACATTTTCCTTTGTAAGGAAGCACAACGTCTGGGATGTGAAAACCCCAAGAAATGATTTTCACACTCGCCTTTATAAATCAAAATACATCCAAAATAGAAAACCTGCAAAAGCGAGCTTCAAGAATTCTGTTATTGCAGTAATTTTTATAAAGAAATGTTAGTGCATTGAAAGATATAGCTCTTAATTAACTTCGCGTTAGGTCTTAGATATTTAGTTTATTAACATTTTTTAAATGTTTTCAGTTTTTTACCACTCTACCGTAATAGTTCTTTAATAATGACAATTTAACACAAACCTACATCTAAACCCTTTTTAAAAGCGCTGAGGCTGATTAGCGACAAAATTCTCCTTTTAATGTCAAAGCGTCAGAAAACAGTGTGATAACGAGATGAAACAAGTTGAATTCTTTGACACAGTTTGACAACTTCTTGTCCCCACTTCGTCCATAGGACTGAAATGTACAGGGACAACAAATGAGATTATAAATTTTGATATTAGGGCTTAAAAGGGACCCTCGCTTGATGTTTGTTCAAAAGAGGTGTCTGTTTTATACATATGTTTTATAGAAAAAAAAATTGAGAAGAAAATTTCGTGACTCGCTGACGCTTTGGTGGGTGCAATGGAGAATGAGACTTTTCTACATGAGCGGGGAGCAGTTATTATGGGTCCCAAATATCGCTAGGGTTCAATGCTGTACATGCAAATAGCAGCAATAAATATATCTTTGCAGCATTATTGCTATAAGAGCCTTGATAATGTTTGCCCGTACTTTACCGTGTGAGGGAAAATCACCGTTTTAGTCCTAGCCGAAAGATTTTACTGCATAGTCTATTTCTTTGAGATGCCGTATCACTAGAAAATCGCCTTTATCGTTATTTTGCGTGGCAGCAATGATTATGATGTTAATATATGCATCAAAATGTGTAACACTGGTTTGCAATCATACTTATATCGCATCGATTTGAAACTGATACCGCGTAGTTACGGAAAGTTATAATTGTTTGTTCTCGTAGAAGCTAGGCCGGAGGTTTGTGTAGGGAGTGTAAGGTATCAGAGATTCCAGTTATTTTCTCAGTGATAACTTATTTTCCGCAATGTAGTCATAATGTATAGCTGCAAATTATGAAGGGGTCTGAAGGGGGTGGCGAAAGGTTTTCTTAGATATAAAATGTTACGTCATTTTAAAAACATCGGCACTTGTCAGTTTATGATGGAATAAAGGAGGTGAAAGTGCGCTTAATATTGTGCCCCCCTGTATCATCGCGCACTGCCTGACTACTAAGTAAGGATATTGAACGCATTCAAAACCGTGCACTATCAATTATTTCGCCAGGCCTTTCTTACGATGACAGCCTGTCAATGTTCAACATGGCATCTTTAGAGGACAGACGCATAGATCAATGTGAAAAACTGTTTGATTCTATTGTATCTAATCCAGATCATAAGTTGCATCATTTTCTCCCTCCCAAGAACTATTGTCATTATAACCTCAGAAGACAACGCCACTTTGCAAATCCAGTCATGCGTATACCAAGCGTTTTTCTAGCACATTTCTGCCATCTATGTGCGAGCGTTAGCAGTTTTTTGTATAAAGTTTAAATCATTTTTTAGTACATTTTCAAATTTTAAGTTTTGTATCATTTGTATTTGTAAATTCATGCAATTCAGCCTTGGTGGGCTGACATATGATTTGAATTAAAGCTATCTACCTATCTATCTATCTAGCTTCCGCCTCGAGGTTAAAGTGGTGCTTGCTGTGGAGATATTCCCTATTGCTAAAAGGTTTGATGGAGATGATTTATTCGCCATCCCTATTTTATACATAGAAAAAGGCTTTTTTAAAGTTAAAAAGAGAGTTAAAATGCTCAGCTATTGTGTAGTATCGCTTGTAGTGTCTAAAATCAATAAAGCAAACGTTAAAAGTTACTCATTATTTTTTTTTATTATTCGAACTGCGCGTACATTTGATTTGATAATATAAGAAGTTTGTGTGATTTCAGTCCGTTAGATGGCCATCAATGGCCATAGATCAACATGTAGATAGTCCCTGACTTCCATTCTTCTTTGATCCTTTTTTTTACAGTATAGATTCGTCCCAATGATCCGCTCATCCCATCCCGCCCGGATCCCGCCTCACTCCACGCTCCGTTTCTCACAGTTTTTCCAAGCAAGTTCTAAGGAAAAAAGAAACAGTTTATGGTAACTGAGTAAATACTACTTCACCTGTAATATAAAAGGGCCAATATCCTATTCACCGAGTTCAAGACATGAACTCCTCTGGAGCCTGTACGTTGAAACTAAAAACAAACTTTGACGCTTCTGTAGACGAAAGGAAAAAATAAAAACATATTATGAGACTAGGGTAATGGTCACCAGAACCAAGGCAAGTATTTTGGGAAGCTTCCAGACGAGGAAAGTGACAGGAAACAATGGAAACGTGAGGTATAATAGGGTGGAGAAGGATGGTCTGGTGGCTCTCAGGGACGAGAATGTGGTTTCCTTCAGCTCAAATAAGGAGGGTTGGGGGTTCACGTTGGATGGTGGGGTCTTCCCTCTTTCTGGCATCAAGGCTGAGGTGTTTCTATTGTTGTTCAACCGTCGGCTAGGACCATTTTGGGATCAAAAAATAGTAAAGAAACAAAATCCTATAGGATCTTTTATAACAGGCCAGGAGCCCATGAACAGGCCTGTTTGTCCAGATGTTTCCTTTTATGATTAAAATCTTGCTGCATAAAGAAGAATAGTGCATTTAATGTACTCTCTAGGCCTTTCCCTGTTCGAGATTACATTTAAGTATCATTTGCGGATACATTTCTCCTTGACTATTGATTTTGTTAAATTTTGGCTCAATTTTGGAATTTTCTGACGCAGCGAGTCTTTACATACCCGACTATCCTACGAGTAGCTGTGCCCCTCCTCCACTCCTGCAGAGAACATGGGGTCCTCCACTTCCACTGTCTCTCCGGGGGAGGGTACGGCTACAGGTAGGCCAGTCTGAGTGACAGGTAAAAAAGGATCCGTTGTGTTCATTGTGTTGTGTCTGAGAGAACCCCCTCCCCATCCTTCAGAATTGATTTGATATCATTCATTGTTTTCAATACCCAAGGTGTCAGAAGACTTTCGTTCTTTCCTCTTTCTCCTCAAACATATGTCCCTACTGATGATCATTTGGAAGATTGGTAAGAGCCATTCAGAGCCCAAGGGGGTTCCCGAAGGTCAGATTCTAATCCTAACGTGAAGTCACCGTTCAGTGTGATGGTCTTTAGGCGTTTTCTCATTGCTTTGTGGTTTGTTGTCGCCGCTTCATGGCTCAAGAATGTTTCAAGAGAAATATAGAAGCAATGCACCGGAGCTAAGGTCTGTTTTCTAGTGATTTTAAGATCCTCGATGTCCGATAATAAAGTGGTAAAATGTTTTTTTCTTTTGGCTGACAAGTAAAAATTAGCAATCGAGCTGGGCTGCTAAACCAGGCAATAAATAAGTCTTAACGGTAACAGGACTGAGTAAAGCCCATCAACCAATGAGTGAATAAACTAAAAAGAACCAAAATATTGAATTGCTTTACAATAAATCATGTTTTCACAATACCTTTGCACTGTACAAATACTTGCTCCCAATTTAATTGGATATGTAAGCTTACAATATATTAAATTATTAGCTCCAATAGTCGTTTATAAAAGCAAACATTAAAGTACTTCCTTGCATTAATAAACGATCAAACAAGAGTAAAGACAAAAGATGCAAGAGTAGACATATTTAGGAAAATACAGATAAATTGATTTCATTGATGAGAAATGTGCAAAAGAGGTGACAAGTTAACTTTAAGTTAATTACACTAATACACCTATTAGAGGTGAGAGTCTACTAAATTGTACATACTTTGTACACTTTTTAAACTTAATTAACAACAACATCATGTAAGAATTTTTGTAATACAACTGCAAAAAAAATTCAGGAAAAAAAGGTTTAAAATTTACAGATATAAAAAAATAATTTTCTCTAAAAAAATTAAAATAAATTTCTACTTATAGTCTAACAAATCTTACTATCATGATGGGAGCGGGGCTCTGTGGAAAAATTGTAGGGAGCCTGTGAAATACAGGGAACCCAGCATTTAATGATCTTTATGCAAAAACAAAAGAGATTTCCAAGTAGCTTTTTTCAAAGCAACACTATAGGGGCTTTTTGGGGCTAAGGTAGCACAGCCTTGGGACCAATATGGGATATTGACAATATTATCATTACTTTTAAACTAATCAATAAATTATAATACTACTTATGTCTACTTGACATCACTGGTCAATAACTTATTATTATTTTATTGTAAAGGAGATGGGTCTTGAAATCTATCTAAATTCAAACAGTGGGAAGCTTCCACCAAATAATTAATTGAGTGAGACATTCAAATAACAGGTCAAAACTTTAAAAGAACAGTTTTTCAAATCTTTTGTTGTCTGTAACAAAATAATTATTTTTGTCCAGGAGACATATCAAGTTCAACTTTAAGCTGTAATTTTGTAATTTACCAATAATTTTGTCATTGAAGCAAAGTTCCATTCTGAGTAAGGACGTTTAATATTTGCAATATTAGCAAAATGAACCAGAAAACTGTCACAGCCCCTTTAACCCACATGGAAGTGTCTACAAATCAAACAATTCTGATGTTCCTAAGTCATATATATGGCCATACTGCCTTAATCTACAATGATTTTGACACAAAATGAGACAATACCATAACTCATTAACAAAAGAACTAAAACAGAAATTACACTGACTACTATCAACACTGTATAATCGTGTTTGTGTTCCTTTTCCTTTAGCAGATGCTGCACTGCTTGTAATGAGCCATTGTTTGGCATTGGTTCAATGCCCAGTAAATGACACGTAAGAGAGTATATATTCACATTTTCAAATGGTTCTGAAACAAAGCCTTCTTTGAATGCAGGTTCTTGGGCAAGAAAAAAGGGGTGCATATCAGGGAATTGGTTACTGTAGCCATGGTTACCATAGCCTGCATAGCAGGCGTCGAAAGGGGTAGGGGTAGGGGATAGGGAGGAAGGGAAAAAGGGGAGGGGAATTGGGGAGAGGGGGAGGGGATGCCTGCTCTAAGAACCCCCTTTTGTTCATATCTGCGGACGCTGGCGTCCACAAATTCCTGATTGGCTGAGCCGTAATGAGTAACATATTGAAATGCGCGTTTCATTAATCAACAAACAGTCGAGATGGCAGCGGTAGATGTGGTTGTCGTAGAGAGTGCAGAGATGTGAATGAATTTATCTAGTGGTAGAGAAACTGTTTTAAAACCAGAGCAAGAATCAGCAGTAAGGGCTCTTTTAGCCGACAGAGATGTTCTGGCAGTTTTGCGGACCGGATACAGCAAGAGTTTAATTTACCAAATGTTTGTACGCGCAAAGAACTACGTGCTAAATGGAATGCGGCGATTCTCGTCATTTAGCCACTGAAAAGTATTATCGAAGACCAGTTGCAGGAGATGGAATTGTTGGGCTACCCAGCGAAAGATTTAGCCAATTTATCGAACGATGACATTCGCTGATGTAACTTAGCAATAAAAGAGGGTGGTTTTACCTCATGCCAAAATTCTGCTTACTCCAATAAAGTTGTTTTTATCTGCTGGGTAGATTATGCTCTGGAAGGTTCTGCATTTATGCTGAGCAAATGTTATTTTAGCCGCATGTTTCACACTGAGAGGTCATGACATACGTATCGATTGACTGTAGTTATTGTTTTCTGGTCGGCAGGATTTGCCCTCTGATGCAAGCGCAATTACTTGGACCTCTTTTGAAGCGTAAAGCTTTTTTTATTACGGCTGAATAAGGGTTCCAATTTTCTCCAAAGTGCCTTCTGGATCTGAATAACTAAGCGAATTTCTTTAGTCTGTGAGTGTAATGTTTTTCTGCAATGGCGAGTGTAGCGACACTTGATTGACAGTAAGCGTAATCGGATTACTAGAAAATTGGTAGGCATTATGCAAAAACATAGGCTCTTAGAGCAGGCGCTCCCTTCCCTTTCTCCCTCCCCCCTCCCCCTTCGCTTTTTGCGCCTGCCACGCAGGCTATGGTTACCACGACTGTCAATTTTCAAGTTGTTTTTTGTAATGGTCCATCCTTCTTCTGTGACAATGAAAATCGGCATGACACGTCGGTTATGCCAGTAATGAAACTCTTCAGGTATTTCTTCTTTAATTAAGGTATGTATGTAGATGTGGAACAGTCTTGAGCCTTTGGTAAGTGTCATTCAACTTTCCTTTCTTAAGGTAGGACATGAAAAAACACATCTGAAGCATGGTCAGCCCTGTTTGGATCAGTGATGAGTGTATATCAGTCTGATGGAATGTAATAATCCAGCTGGATAAGATGGGAGTTGTTGACATCTGCCATGCCATGGTCACTTGTGATAATAAGGTTTACCTAAAATGGGTCATAAAAATACAATGGAAATATATTTAGATCCATGAGTTGTTACCTAATAATAATATTATGGGACACGTAAAGAGTTACTACATCTTACCATATAATATATGGTAAGATGTAGTAACTCTTTACGTGTCCCATAATATTATTATTAGGTAACAACTCATGGATCTAAATATATTTCCATATAACATAACACAAGCGATTACTAAAAGACATTCTCTTCATAAATGAATAAATCCAGTACCACAAATGAAGAGCAAAACAGTATGTTTTTTTCATCCTTCGCCTATTTTGACCAACTGTACTGGCCTTCATAAGAGTGAATGGCTGTTACAAGCATCACACACCATTGACAACAACACACAAATTTGAAAAGTTGCATGCAGTTCAAAGAAAGCTAGAAGCATGCACGCTGGAATGCTGACTTCCCCCCAAAGTCAATAACTACCACTTATTAACCCTGTCCATTCGGTCATTACAGGGAAATCTCAGACTAAGGTGAGACATTTTCCTGTATTGACCAAAGGGACGAAAATAAGTTATTTATTATAAGGCCTTTTTATTATGGACCTGAGCCTGCAATAAAAACCAACAGCTGGATAACTTAAAAAAAATACACATCACTGCAATGAGTCGTACACTTGACCTAGCAATACAGTCATGTGACACTGGTCAGTGGATACCCTATTTGACAGCTGTCAATTGACTATTACATGGATGTCCATAAGGATATTAGCCTGAGTATCAGGTGTTTCTGCGGGAGCGTAATACCCAAGCTATAAGGATTTCCACTATCAAGTTTAGCACAGATTTAATATCCCTTGGACAGCCAGCTAGTAATGTGCAGACATTACGAGAAAATAATGAGAGAGCATGCGTACTATTATAGCTATTATACATTAAAACTCATCTAGATTTAAACAGTCTTTAAAGGGAAAGTTGGGAAGCAAGGGTGGCACAGTGCTGAGAGCACCCACCTAGTTTTGCTCCTTTTTGGAGGAGAGCAACCAGAAAATGGCCCAACTAGCTCTAAAAGGTGTTTTTCAGCAAAATTTCCAGGAGTGTAGTGATTTTGTTACAAAAGTTATGAGTTATGGTGAGTCCTGGGACTCATCTTGTGAAAAATCATGAGTCTTAGTCCAGAACCAATGAGTCCCAGTTGAAAAAACAAAGAATTCTAAATTGGGCCTTAATGTAATCAGACAGTTAATCTGACTCCAAAACTCTGTATTACAGTTTACTGAATTAAAAATACACTCCTTCTATTGTAAAGCATAACAAAGACAAAACAATATTCATTGTTAAAAAGAAGCAACAAAAGAGCCACAGAAATCACACGAACAGGATATTCTACAAAAGCATCCTCAGATCAAACAATCTACCTTAATTATTTGAATCCCACAAGACGCATGCCACGAATTATTTTGCATCTTTCCAAGGGATTTTTATGCATCAAAGATGCACAACGCAGAGGTAACAGAATCACTGGGAGTGTGAATGGGATATTCTGAACAAAAACTCCATCATGTTGACATCTGATGGAGCATCACCATTGGCTCTAGTAGTTAATGACCCTAGGCATTGGGTATTATCTGGTCATGCACAAAGTATCCTGGATCACTGATGTAATCTAAATCCAGTTAGTGAGTTCTGTGAAGCAGTGCTGGGATCCTTCTTCTGGAACCACAATGGACTCAACAAATTACCAACCAGATTGGCTGATCCAACAGTGGCTTCTTTATGGGTCAATCATAGCACATGCAATTGAACTGCAATCCTGATACACAGCGGGGTCAGCCAGAACAAAAGACATGCAGACAGACTGAACCAGAGATTTAGTTTTGTTTATGACACAGGCCAGCAGTGCACAACGGCAAGGAGTGGAAGGGCTCCGTGATGGTTGACACACCGATAGTCTTGTCAAGCTTAAATAAACTTAATCATCGCGTACATAATTGTTGATGAAACAATCGTCGTCAGCTGAGTAAACTGATTGATTTGGTTGTTATTTAAGATTAGATCCTCTTACCTGATTCAACAATCCGCGATTTCGTAAACTTTCCAACAGATATCCAGTGACATTATCCATTCTACGAATAACACTTTTAATCTCTGGTGAATTAGGGCCAAATTTATGCCCACTGTGATCTGGCTCGTTAAAATGAGCGGCCAAAAAGCTTGGAGGATCATCCTGCTCTAACATTGTACATAAATAATCTATTCGTTTCTCGAAGGAAAGTGACCGATCATAGGGTAAATAGTGTGTAGGGTGTTGGCCTTCTATTTTCACTTCTAAACCAGGCCAAAGCACCACAGCACTTCTCTTAAAAGCTTTTTGATTCGTGATCCACACCGGTTCTCCGTTCCACCATTTTGAATCCAAGTAATGCTTTGACACGGCATCTAAGTAGAAAGTGTCGTTGAAAACAGGATCGAAAAACGTATTTGCTACGATCCCGTGGCTTTCCTGATAAAAGTCCTGTAACTAACGTGAAATGATTCGGGAATGTCTTGGTAACAAAAGTATTGAGAAGGTGTTTCGCTTTGATGCCCTTTCGATAAAATTCAAATTTGGAGTATGAACTTTCTTCACGTAGTCCCACCGGAAACCATCGTACGAGACCAAAATTACAGTGGGTTGTGCTAGAACGATTCTCTTATTAATCAAGGCGAAGGCGTTACGATTAGGAAGAAATAACATGAGCAATCGGTCTAGCCAAAGGGAGGAATTTCATATATCCCATGATGCTTCGCGGCTAATTTCTGTCTTCTATTCGCGGTGGAAAGAGTGCTCTAGTGTTTCGAGGGAGATTTTCAACGACCTGAATTTCAAGATGCAGCTCATCCAAGGTAAGTTTCAATGAGTCCTGTTAATCTTTGGTATCTACTTGATAATGTAAAATGTTTCCAAAGTCATTTCACGCATTATTTCTCTCGTTTACGACCCTGTTAAGCCATGCTGTTTTAACTCGCGAGTGAATATTTAGTTGGATGACTTTCAATTATCGAAAACTGTCTTTATTCTAGGGAGGTTTTGCCCCAATAAATTATTTAGATCGGCGGACAAGGGGTGCTTGATACTAGTTCCACGTTCCGACCTCTTTCGACCTCGCGATTTT